AAATTTACAGGTGATCATGTATTGTGTTACATTATATTTCTAGAAAATTTAAGGGGTAGTTATATAATAATTTTGGACGATCTTGAGCGGTCAGATACTTATGACCGCTACTGTATATTACGAATCTTTGAATTGGTATCACGCAAGACAATCCAATGTCCCTGTTGTTAGAATGAGACAAGAATAGAAAATTGCGCCTCTTAATCTACCTGATTTATAGATCTTCATCCTATGAAATATAAGAGGATGCCTCTGGCCATATTCTACATAATAAAACAAATTTTCATATACAAGTGTTAGTAGATTTGTATAGAGCACAAAAAGGGGCCACCTTTTTTCTTCCTTTGATCATTAATTCAAAAAAAAAATACTAGCAGGGTAAGCTATCTCCCGCAGATCAACAGATGATCTTAGCAATAAACAGCAAATTTTCCAGTATTTTATTAGTATTCATAATATCGATTTCACATTGTTAATGTGTCATGTATTGTTATTTCAACAATCAGGTATTTACAATTATGAAAAATGTAGTTATGACAAATACACACAATAAAGCAACATAACTTTTATTAAATCAGGTTAAATTCTCTTTTCGCACATAGTAGACATACAGTATAAAATAAACCTTTTTCTAACGTATTTACGCAAGAGATTGCATATTAAAAAAGTATATCTAAAAAATTTGATCCACCAATAAGATCTTTTAATGAAATTACTACGCCTAATCATGTCTAGTTTATCATTGCTCAACTCTTTGGGAGTTATGCTTTTTTTGACCTTAACTGCTGTTTTTTGTTCATTGGTCTAGTATTAATCATAGGGATTGCTACCATGTGGTCAAATCTCAAACAAAATATTTCCAATGAACTTTCTGCATGTGTCACTAGAATCGTCAATGATCTTGATACAAAAAATAATATACTGATAATTGAAAACATCTTCAGTAAACTTATCGTGAAAATTAATACTAAAATCACTAATGAACTTTCCGCACGTATTTCTGAAATTAATTCTACTTTCACTGCGAAGCTTATAAGAAACAACAATAAACTTAATAAGAAACTTATTGGAGAAATTGCTAAAATCAATTCAAGTGATACTGACTACTTTTCTGAGATGCAGAAAATTTTATCAATGATCAATGATATTAAAGAAAACTGCCGTAATGATTTTAACAATATTTCATCTGAATTCAATTTGGTCAAGACCTCTATTGAAGCTCTCTGAAATAAAATGATCTAACGTTATACAGTTGCTCAAAGGCTTTAGGTCGATTTTGATCAACTAAGTGTGGCCAACTATTTCTCTGATAATGAAAATTCTTCTAGTCGATTATCTGTTTTATCTTTTAAAGAAAATAGGAATCGTTTTAAACGAGATTTTGATTCGAATAAGAAAGAAGGGAAACTTTAGATTATGCATTTGAAATCATTAGACGTGGAATTTGTCATCATACTGGAAAAAAGATTGGGAAGAGTACTGTGGAAAATTTTTATTATGGTAGAGGAGATCTAAAATATACCACAGTGATGACAATTATGAGATGAGTAGATAATAAAGAAATTATTAATAGTTTAGCAGAGTAATGGGAAAGGAACTGCCAATATATGAATTAGGGCTTGGCAGGCTTAACAAAGCAGGCATGTTCTTTTATGCCTTTCCTCTCTTGAAACAACCTACTACTCTATTATTTTTTACTTTCATTTTTACTTAGCCGGCCGGCCCTTTCTTATGTATTACTTTACGAAAATATAATAAAGATTTTATTTTGAATTTTTTTAAACGTGTTTTATGTTTATACTGTATAGTACTACATAAAGTATCTGAATCTTTTACAATTTATCCAATTTAAAAGTTAAATAGTATCCAGAGGTACTAGGTTAATATTGACAGAACTAAAAGGATTATATATGAAGATTTAAATTTTCATTTACAACCACCTATTGAATATAATAAATTTTTAAAATTAAAAAAATCCATATATTACAAATTTGCTATATTGAAAACAGATACTTTACATAGGGTACAAATAAAGAGAGATACTATATGCAGTGCTATACGGCATATATTCCTGGCTTTTAATAAAAAAAATTAAGTAAAAGAGAATAATATGATGCAATAAACAAGATTTTTATTTTATTTTATAAAAGTTATGTGAACCCAATTCTTACACTGCCTAGTAAGAAGCGTATGATGCATCGCTTATAGGTGATAGAGACTTAAAATAGCTTCAGCACTATAAAAGATCGATTTCTCATTAGAAATCAAAATTTCTGTGAAATTGAATTTATCTAAACCTGTAACACAACACTATTTATTATTTAATGAAAGTGTGACTCCAGTGACAGATTTCATAAGCTTGTATAATGCAGGATGGGATAACAGATCCTAATCCTAATATTTTTGTAAGTGTGACGATAAACTGTACTGTACAGTTAGTTAAACTGTACTATACAATTAATATATTAAAAATTCGTACAGTACAGCATATTACTTATTTAAGTGTTAAATTGTACTGTATGAATTTTTCATGATTAATTGTACAGTACAGGTAAGGGTATACATATAAACTGTACTATATGGTCAGCTAAACTGTATTGTATAAAAGTGTTTTAGCCTATCATAACTCATTGTACACTTTTTTAATTTTTTATATTTATTGTAAAATAAAATATGATTGGTTGTTATCATTTTCGTATAGTACAATTTAGCTGACCGTATAATACAGTTTATACGTATACTTTACAGGTAAAATATTATCAAATCACATGACTTTATAAAGTGTAAATAATTCAGTATTTAAAGTAAAAAATAAATAAATTAACTAAAAAAAAATTTATTATTCAGAATTTATTATCAATTTATATAAAATTCTCCTCCTTATGATTTATTATTAAATGTTCATATTTACTATTCAATTATTCAATTATTGCATAAAAGATATATATAAAAAAACAAATTAAGTAAAATGCTGAAAATCTATAAACCTAACATTTGATTGCGCTTTTCAATTAACATTATTTCCTTTTCAAGCTTATCATTTCTTTGTTTTTGTATGATTAGCATTTCTTGCACCAAATCATTCATTTTTTTTTGTGTTTCAAAGTGCAAATTGTCATTAAATTCAATATTAACCATATTTTCCTTATTTTTTGAATTGTTTCTTTGTTTTTTTGAGGAGGATGACGAGGATTGTATTTCCTTTTATTTATTCTTTTGTCTTTTCTCTAAGTAATTTAAAAATATAATTAATAAAATAAATATTATTATTAAATATTAAAATGTAATAATAATAAAATTTACCTGCTCTTTTTTCAAATTGAATAGACCGATTTAACTCTGATTTATTTTGATAGGAATCTGAAACATTGTACTTTTCATGAATATGTACACTTTCCTACTGCCTTTTATCAAAATCGTGTTCTCTTTAAAAAAAATTTTTGAATAATTAATATTAATTAAACAATAAATATATAAAATAAAAAAAAATACTTGCCTCATAATTCCAGCAAGAAGAGAAAGATTATGTCCATCATGATTTACATTGGCATATGCACTTTCTCCAATATTTGTATTATTTGGCATTTGATTCCAAATAAAATGATCCATTTTAGTAAATGCAATAGATATCCCTGATAATACCCATTGGATTAGTTTATCCTTTACCCAAGCTGTAAAAAGATGAATACTTGAATACTTATCTAATCTTTAAAAAATTACAATTGATACAATAACTAATATTTTTAATAATTACCTAATGTTCCTGGTTCACTACATAATTGTATATTATTTAATATAGTTAAAACTTCTTCTTGTATATTTAATGTAAGTATTAAATACATAGAATTTTGAGTTTCTCTTGATAATTGTTTGTTTTTATCAATATTTCTAAATAAAACAAATAATTATAGTAGTTAATAATTAATAATTACTTATTTTATAAAAAATCAATAATTTTATTTACTGTTTATAGTGCACTTGACAAAGTTTATAAATATATTGCAAATGTTCTACTGGTGTTAAATGTGGATATTTTGAGTTTAAATATTTATCTAAGCCTTTTTAAAATTATTTTTTAGATAATATTTCTAAAATAATTTAATTACATATAATAATAAACTTGCCTAATGCTTGGCCTTTATGCTGATCTGCAATTACACAGCCCAGTCCATTCTCATGAATGTGATAAAAATTAAAAGATTTGCCTGTATCCCTTTCAATGCAACCAAATAAGTCTTCAAATAAGTTTTAATATATTTCAACTGTCTCAACATTTGTAAATACTCGAACAAATGTTAAAGCTATATATATAATATTAAAATAATAAAATTAAATAATTTATAAAAAATTAATTGATGATAAAAATAAATATTTTTACTTACTTTTTATGACTGAGTTGAATAGGCCGATATTTCCCATTCATTTGTAATGCTGTGTATCCTTTTAAATGCTATGTCAATTTCTATATATGTTAATTTTGAAAATGCTTAAAATTGTTTCTTGGTACTACATAAAACAAATGTATTGCCCATTATCTAAAAATCCTAAAAAAAATATTTATTTTTTATATATAAAATATAAATAATATAAATATAAATAAAATACTAAAATTACTTACGAATTGATCGTATATATGGATCTTCACTTATTTCATATTTCATAAATTCATATGCAACTCCCAAAATATTTTGACCGAATGGATATTTGAAACGCTTAGTTTTTTTAATATAATAATTAATTTTGGATTGATTATTTAGTGATGGATGCAAATCGCTTATTGGCCTTCCATTTAAATAAGTTTAAATCATAGATCCTATTTATAAAAAAATAAATATATAAACTATTTATTTTTTCATAAATTATACAAATATGTCATACAATACCTGTTAAAAGTTTTCTTGTTATTAGATCAAGGATATGTTCATTATTAATAATTGTTTAGAGTTAGTTTTTTATATTATATGGTATTTTTCATGATGGTGGAGATGGGTGATTATGCTGTCCTATAGAAATAGTCACAATAAACGGACACTCCTTTAAGTTTTTTGGGATTATATAGTAAAATTTGACTGGACATGCAGTTGATTTTTTCACTATTCTCTTAACAATACAATCTCCAACTTTATGTAAAAATGCTTTAAATATATTAAAAAATTATTATTAATTTAAAAATATTAATTAATAGATAATAATTATTAATTGTAATATTTACGAAATTCATCAGATCGTGTACTATTAGGACGTATTGTAAAACATTCTTCTATTATATCAGATTCATCTTTCTATAATTTAAATAAAAAATGTTAATTAATTCATTACTTATCTATATAGATATTTAAATAATTAAAATAAACTATACCTCAAAGTCGATACCACGAGGATGATAAAAATGCTTGTCAAACATAATTTCCAATAATTCCAAATCAACATTATTTGGAATTGTTAAATAACGATAGTTTTTTTCCCTAAAATGCCATTTAGCACAACCAATAAACTTCTTTTTTGATGCTATTGAACCAATTACCTATATAAAAATCACAGTTAAAAAAAAAATAAAAAACAAAAAATAAAATAAAAAAATAAAAAAAGTTATACGGTATATACTTGTATAAATTCATTTAATTTTGATGCACCATCATACCGTATTCCATTTTGATCAACATATCCACATTTATATTCATGCGTTTTGGCAAATGTACTAGTAATATAAAATAAAAAATTAAATTAAATAAATTGTTTAAATTAACGTTAAAGCCAAATAAATAAACAATTATTTACCAAAGTGTTGCCTTTTCAAAAAATTTTTCGTTAGCGTTAAATATATTTTTAAAAAATGATGAAGCAAAATCCACAGATATATGATCTACATCTAATTCTTTAGATGCAAATTCACACATTTTCACACCAAGGACCTTTCTTTCTTCCTTGAATACTTCATATTTAGAAAAAAAATCACAATTTTTTACTATATGGGTTGTACTACATCAGTAAATTTAATAATGCGAAGTATTACGTAAACCCTACGCTTCATAATCTTACGTAAGGTTACGAGCCCGT